TATATATATATATATATATATAATGTTTGATTCTGGTTTTCACAAATTTTTTTTAAACTTTAAATAGGCATTTTACTAATGAATTATCTTGGTAGTTGAATAATTATTTTTAATATATCCTTAAACTTTGACCCTGCACAGTACTTTCTCCATTCTAATTCACTTGAATGTCCCGTTCTTCAAAATGATATTTTTAATTAATAAATTATTGTTATTGAGATTTGAAATATATATATAGAAAAATGATTTTCAAGGTGGCTTAGAATATATAGGAATTATAAACTACTCCCAGCCAAAAAAAAGAAAAATACAACTTGATTTCATGAAATTAACTTAATTTCCAACTCTTGCTTTTGAAATATCTCCTTTAACATCACGACATTATATTCCAAAGATATGTGTGATATATCTTGTCTCGATCGTGTCAAGATTTAACTCGTCCATTCATCCAGGTCAATGCCTAACCTAAGTATAAGCAATCTATGCGTGTCGACTACTAGTAAAAGAAAACAAGAAACTCTATATCCGTAGAATCTCTTGTTCTGAATTTGAATACTCTCTGAACATTTAAATTCTCCTGCAATTTCATTTATTTTTCGAGTACTGTTAATTTTAAAATCATTATTTTTTGCTGTTAGATACTCCAAGAGGCATTGTTGTTTTGAGTATCTCATAAAGGAGTAGTTAAATCCGTGTACTCAGATTTATGGAAGTGTTGTCTTTTTCAATGTCGACCGAAGTGACGATCCTCAATTAAAAAGAAATCAAGGAAATACAGTCTTGTTGCTGTCCATAGGAAAAGTGTCCCTGCTCGATTCATCCTTTTTGTGAGTATGTCTTGAAATTTTTCATATTCCGACATTTATTTTTGGTGAATTCGATTGGCATCAAGGTAGACCATCGTATCTAGTAGATTGTGACAATGTTAGCCACGGAAACATGTGTTTCAAATTTTTTGTCTACTTTTTTTATGTGTATGCCAACTGAAAAAAATATATAATTAAATATCAAACTCGTATTTACAACCATTTTTATTTATTTTAAAAATCAGGAACAAGTATATTTAACTATTTATAAGACTTTTTTGATAGAAAAATATTTTTATATAGACTAAAAGTTCAATTAATTCTGTTGGCTGACTAAGTTTTAAAATAATTTTGAAATAAATCAATTAATTATTTTGATGTAAAGTGAAAGTTACTTTTAAAATTAGTATCTTCTTTAATCGTTCGTTTGATACGCAAATGTGGGAAGAAATTTAAATTCCATGTTAGTTGGAAAAATAAAAACTTATCAAGGCAATAGAAATTCGTTTTCCATGAAAACAAAGAAAATGCAGCTTAAAATGACCATGCCACATTGCAATCAAACGACGAAAGTGAAATTCTTTTTTTTCAGATGTGACATTTTCCTTGGAATTCGTTGCAATCAAACATCGCAAAGGTAAATTGTGTAACATATTTAGAAATATAAATTTACCTTTGTAAACTTAGCCGAATTACTCCGAAAATGAGAAAAAATTGCAACCGTTAATATCAAAGAGATAATGTGACTCTCAGTGTGTTTCTGTTTATTCATGTTCTCAATAAGAAAGCATATTCTCTTGGAATAAAAAATTTGTCTTAATTAGTTGTCTTTTGTCATTTTACGTACCATGGTCCATGCAATTTTATTATTTTATTTTATTTTATTTTATTTTTTGCAGCTTTTGCTCCATTTTCTTATGAAATTTATCATCTAAACTAAGCATATTTTTGTTTTGTGCATCGACCATCAAATTGCTTCAAATGAGTCAAAATTAACCAGAATGTGCTTAAATTTTACATTTTCGATTAAAATTTACCATCAAATTTTCGATCTTAGTTTGTACCCATATGCAACTTGAAGATTTGTAGAACCGAAATTTGTCTGAATTTTCATGGTCTAATCTAATTATGGCAAGAATCGAACTGAAAATCGTGTTAAATTGCGCGTTTTTTTTAATGTAAAAGGTGGTTCTTTATAAAAAGAGAATTGAATAGTTTTAATTCGATTTAAATTTTTTCGGGACCTAGTCTCCAGAATTGAACTATATTTGGTATTTGAGGTTGTTTTTTTTAGTTTCATTATATATCTACTAATTAATATTGTATATTTGCTATAATTCGTCCTGTTTTGTACAGATTTTTAAATTTTCGGGAACCCCTTATCTCCACTTTCAGGACAGGAAGTGGCGATCTATTTCCAGCCTAAAACAACCACCACTCGACTTTGAGCCTAGCTCAGGAGAAAGGCGCCAGAGGAGCAGCTCGACATAGAGACTTCTTTATCTTTTGAATTGTTTTGCAGGATCGGTTACTCGCATCAAACATATGCTTATTAACTTAATGAATTTATGCATTTATTACAGATTCCATGTATCTTGGAATGGAATTTACCCTTTAGGTGGTCCAGTGAAAATTAATGCGGGTTCACGTGTGAACACTTTCATGTGCCTCGTGTATCATAATTTTATTTAAATAGGAAAATGTATGATTTAACAGATTTTGAAGTGACTCATTGCCATCAGTATGTCAATTCCTGATAAATAGGGTATTTTAATTTCTTTTCTTCTTTTCCTAAAAAGTTAATGTGGTAAGGATTATTCTACACGTCCATAGCCACTTGGCCCTCCACCTGCCCCCACCTACGGTGAAGCTCCACTCCGTCCAGGCTCATGTGGTCCTGGACGTGTAGCGTGATTGATGTGATGAAATTAAAAATTAAGAAGAGGGTAATAGCAGATTGGACCATGTTTATAAAGAGCAAATAATGAATAGTATTCGTGAATTAATCGAAATATTTAAATAAAAATTGAAGTGTTTAGAATATTTAGAAAACATATAAGATCATCAACATGGAACTTTTCTATAACTTTTTTTACGTTTTATTTGTTTAAAAAATTTAGTAATAAATTAAGGGTTTGTTTAAACTCCATTTTTGGGAGGATATATTTTGTAATAGTGATTTTTGGAGAAAATGTTTAATTAAAAAGTATGAAAAATTTTAAATTTACGCGTAAAATTATTTTATTGAAAGAATGTGTAATTAAAGATATATTTGAATTTTTTTTTTAAAGAATTAAATTCAAATAGGTGCTAAAAGAACAAATTTCTGAGATTGTTGGGATGCCGAACCCCTACCCAACTAGGTATGATCTTATATGACTAGCACGTCCAAAACGAATTAATAATAAAGAAAATTAAGCCGCTCTTTGGTGCAACTAGAAATCTTATTAAAATTCAGGTCAAAATCAATAATTAATTCTAATCCCATATTTTACGGAATCCACAACTTTTCAACTACGCATTTTATCAATTTTTATCAAAAGTTACTAAAAATATTATATAAATCACTATCAAACTGAAGCTAAACGTGGTTACGTGATCTACGTTCTATATAACTTTTTCCATTATATATATTCGCCGAATATAAATTTACCATTGAACAAAAATATTACGTTAAATACGCAATGAAATTTTGAAATATTTATCTATAAAATTATGATCTACACAAGTTACAAAATGGAGAAAAAATAGAAAAGTCGAAATTTGACAGTAATTCTGTATTCTGTTTTCTGTCAAATTTAGCGTATTACCTTCCTTTTATATTATGATATGATGACATTAGGAATAACTCAAAAATAGAAAAGTCGAAATCCGAATGTTCCTAGGATTTTTTTTATCATACTGCAATGGGCTTATTCTCTCCTTCTCGGAATAATTTGGCATGAACCTATGATTGGCTATTTATATGAACAATCAAATCATTTTTTATCCACATATTTTGAGGAATTCTTAGGTATTATCCAATTATTCGCTACTCATTTATATTTATTTATAATTTAAGTTATTGTAAGGAAATAAACCAACGGAAGCACTAAAAGTATTCACTTAGAATAAACCAAGATTCAACCACACCAAGTAGTATATTAGTTTTTATGGCTCAGAATTTATACAAAGACATTGTACCCTTATGTACAAATGATCTAGCCACAAGAACCCCAAATCCTGACAAAAATATACAAAGCAGCTACTCAATGGCCCGAAACCATTACAGCCTATCTAACCTCATTAACATTTCATTCGAACAATCACCTAGACAAAAATCACTCAGATTTGTGATTAAAACCAAAGGTTTTAATCAAGACCACAAAGAATCGAAAGAGATGATAGAGAAGACACGAGGCAGAGAACCCAGAAGCTTCCCTCACACTCAGCAAAAGGAACAGAATGAAAAATCACGAAGAAAATGGCCATCCAACTCCTTATATAGGCAGCATCATCACCATAGATTAGGTAGCAGATCTACGGACCAGAGCAACACACATGGCATTTAAGTTGGGCCGGGTTTTGGGCTAATTTCCTTTGAGTTATTGGGCAATGGTTTTTCTTCAAAACATTTCCAGCAGTTGGGCTTAACCCATTTCATCATTGCCCCGAAATGGTTAGAAACTAATGTCACTGTTGGCATCAAATTCCAATAAATCTCCCCCTTGATGCCAATGCCATAATCCACCAAACACATTAGTGTTTCATAACACCAACACCCAGAAGGTCACTACCTGCAGAAACACAAAATTCATCAAGAATTAATTCTTAGATTTTGTAAGCAATATTTAAACTTGGAAAGAGAAAGTACCTTTGTTCCCATATCCGCGGGATTAAATTGTGTAGGGATTTTCTCAAGAAAAATAGATTCACATAACAAGCCTTTAAAGCGACAAAGACTCTTTTATAGCTTCAGTAGTAGATAAGACAATAATAGACTGCAATAGAGACTTCCAACTAATGCAAGTATCACACAAAGATTTCCAGTTATAGATATCCTATTGTCCTTATTACTAGCATAATCAGAATCTACATATCCTTTCAACACAATAACTCTCTTTACAAGATTTAAAATGCAATCCTAAATCTGGAGAACATTTTCAAAATCTTTTTAAAAAATCATTTTAATGCAGCCCAATATACAAGACCACGGGTTGCCATAAATCTACTCAAAATGCTAATAGCATATGCAATATTAGGATAAGTACACACCATAGTATACCTAACATATCCAAAAGCATTAGCATAAGACATCTTTTGTATGTATTTAATAACAAATTCATCTTGTGGACATTGTTCTTTACTCAATTCAAAATGATAAGCAAGAGGCAAAGTATTCATTTCAAATTCAGCACTTAAATCCTTTTTAATGTCATTTATAACTCATTTTATGTCCAACCAACAACATATCATCAACATACAAAAGTAAGTAAACAATCACATCATTCTTATCATTTCTTTTGACATAAAGATAATGATCAAATGCACTATGCACAAAGCCAATATAAGACACATAATTGTCAAATCTAATATACCATTGCCTAGGTGATTGTTTCAAATCATACAAAGATCGATTAAGCAAACAAACATGATTAGGCTTTTTAGCATCAACAAAATTTTGAGGTTGTATCATACAAATTGTTTCATCCAAGTCACCATGCAAAAATGTAGTTATAACATCCATTTGTTCAAGTTCTAAAAAACATTTAGCAACCAAAATAAGCATGACTCTTATAGTAGTATATTTCACAACAGGAGAGAAAATATCTTAATGATCAGTACCAGGTTTCTGAGTAAACCCCTTTGCAACAAATCTAACCTTAAACCTACGAGGCTCTTTAGAAGAACTACCATCCTTAATACTATAAACCCACTTACAATCCACCAAGGACTTATCCTTAGGTCTGGGAACTAATCTCCAAGTATTACCCTTCATAAGGGACTTCACCTCTTCTTCCATAGTACCTAGCCACTCATTAGATTGTCATCAACTCCAAACCTCCTCATAAGATTTAGACTTCTTGAAAACTAAGTCTTGATAAGACAAAACAGCAAAGGATTGATAATCACCCATCCTAATGGGTTCCCCAATCTCCCTCCTACATTTATCACGAGCAAGTTGATAATCACTTGGAAAATCAACCACTACTAAGTCATGTTTACCACCTTCAACAGGTTCATGAGAACCAATGACACCATCATTCTCCTCCTCAACCTCATTCTCAACTTGTTCCACCTAACAAGTCCAGGAGAATGATCCAAACTCACTTGCATTCTAGTCTCCTCATCCTCATCACTCTTAGGATCATCACTAGAGACTCTCTTACTCAAACCAGGCCTATCACCTTCATTAAAGGTCACACTCTTACCAAATGCCCATTTCTTACTCAAAATATGTAAGCCCTTTCCACTCACATGAGCTAGCCTATTATGCCACTTCAGGGTAGCATCAATCTCAGCACTAGAAGACTCAGCAATGTGACTCTAAACTACATTGGCTCTAATGACATATATACCATTCCTCTTGGGACCTTTGAAAATAACTAAGGAACCCTTAATTACTTTCAAAGAACCATTACCAATCCGGCCTTGCAGGCCTATGTTATCTAGATTACCCATAGAAATCAAGTTCTTATTCCAATGAGGAATATACCCTACTCTTTCTAAAGTAAAGGTACATCCATTGTCAAACTTCAAAGTCACAATGCCAATTCCTTTAATACTACAAGCTACATTGTTACCTATAACCACCTTTCTACAATCAAGATCCTTAAAATTCTCTAACCATGGTCTTCTAGAGGTCATATGGAATGTACACCTCAAACCCATAATCCACTCATAATCCCGACCACTGTCATCTACATAGTTGACAATATTCACATCAGGAATGGGTTCTGTCACCACATACACATCAACAGTCCTCTCATCTAGGGGTTCAACAACATTCCCCTCATTCACTCTCATATCTCTCTGTTCATTCTTTACAACAGTCTTTTATAAAATGTTCTATCTTTCCACACCCGTAGCACTTCCTAATTCCACTACTAGATTTAGATCTAGAGCTCAATTTTTCCTTCTTCTTAGGATTGTTATGATTGCTCCCTTGATAACTCTGACCATGGACTTGCCTAGACATATGTCTACCTCTCACAGACAAACTCTCAAACTCCTTCCCAACTCTATCAACTTTAAGCTCTAATTCTTTGCTTCTCAAAGAATTGATCACTATGTCCGGAGTTAAGGTATCTCTACCATACTTAATAGTAGACTTAACATCATTATACACATCAGGTATAGCATTCAAGAAGATAACAGCCTTATATTCGTCAGACACTTTCTCCCCAGTATTAGCGATATCTTGAACTAATTTATTAAAACTATCAAGATTATCATCCAAGTCCTTAGACAAATTAATTTTAAAGCTAAAAGAACATCTCTAAAGAGTTTATTAGGCAAACTCTTAGACATGTATTGCTCTTCTAACTTCTCCCACAAAACTTTAGCATTATCAAGTTTACCAATTTTCCTCAACACTTGATCAGACAAAAGAAGAATTATAGAAGTATAAGTAAGTTCATCAGATTCAAGTTTTTAATCATCAGTCATAGTAGCAGGAAATTCACCAGTTATAACCTTAGAAACTTTCTGTTGAATTAAGACCTCTCTCATTTTTTGCTGTTAAATGGGGAAATCCATTTTTTCATTAAAAACTCCAAGTTCAAATGTTGCTGTTGTCATTTGAAGTTTTTAATCAACACAAAAGATTTTGAGGTCACGGTTCCACAGAAGACAGTAAACAGATATTTCAAACAACCAATTTAAAAGTCACACAAATCACAGTGTAAACAA